ATAGATTGGTGTACAATCACCTTGGACCGTGACTCCATAGATGAGGATTAATTGATTAAAGGATATGAAGGGTCAAAAATACTAACAAGACTATAGGAAAAGGAACCGGCAATTTCTTGGACGACTAAATTCTAAAACCCACTTAGCTCCAAGTCTCCAAGTTCAAGAATCCCACATAGCTGATGGTTAAAATTGTTCCTTGTTCCATAACTTTACACGTTTGCAACAGTTGTAAGGTTGTCATATGATGTGCTAAATATAATTGTTCCATTATTGCTGGAAGAACATCTCTATCATCCAACGTCTTCTGCTATTATATTCTTTATAAAGACTAGATTCACCTGGAATTTAACTATATATTGAAATGTTGGAAGGAAAGTAGTAGAGTGGAGATAGTTTACATTTCTCACAAGAATAACACTCTATCCAACTTAGAGAACTTTCAGTATCCATAGCTAACGTTTGTAGCACTAGGAGATCCCAAATGGGTACATTTCTTGTGGAGAAATGAGACGTTGAATAACATCATCACTGTTGCTAAAGTTTGAATGAACTTCCAAATTGTGAGGAGTTACTTTGGCTTTGATGGTTTTAGAAGAAAAAAAGGATAATATCACGATCCAAAATTCCATCAAGTCGTGATTACTCCTAATTTAAATTCTCTAGGTAAACCCACTAACATAAAATATTATCCAACCCGAAGATCATCAATAAATACAGAAAAAAGAATATAAATTTTGGTATAAGTGCCCCAAGATATGAAAGTACAAGTCATGAGCAACTAAGATTTGAATACAATATTGGTAAAAGAAATACATCATCTGTTTGAAAGTTACATAAATAGAAATACAAGTCCCATACTACCATGAACAAGATGATAGTAGATGGCTAGAACATAGTAGTTTTTAATGCTCGAACACTACAGTTGTTTAGGTCCTAATATTTGCATGCAAGGTGCAAAAGTATAGCATGAGTATAACCAACCACATATACTCAGTAAGCATCTTGACTAATTTCGGTAAAGTAGTTGCGAGGTTTTAAGTCAAAAGATACTCAATAAAATCTGTACAATTTATAAGCATAAAAATAATAGGACAACATTAACCAGAAAAAAGTCATGAAACAACAAATTTCGACGATATAATACACTATAAGAGGAAGAAGAAGAAGAAGGAGGAGAAGAAGGAAGAGGAGAAGAAGAAGGAGAAGGAGAAGAGGAAAACAATGTGCTTTTTGACCTACCGAATCGAAGATACATACCAAATACATTAAATCCATATACAGAAGAAAATATACATCCACTAACACTAACTCAATACTTCTACACAAATGTGAAGAGCCTTCACATGAATAAATTCAAGTTCCATCAATTATCGATTACCATTATACGAATGCTCAAGTACCATGCATAGGCAAGATAACATTTGGAAAGCATATGAAGAAATGTGTATGTAAATTGTATAAATAAATCCTGAACAGACCTTTTATTTGGTAGGTAATAACTATATGTAGCACATGTCAACAACTCAATTATACAAATCATAACACTCAACAAATCACAATACTGTTACGGCGGCAACTCGATCATGTTATAATATTGTTGCAAACGTGTAACCCGATCCTATGGCCATACTGTGTGTCGTGCGCCCGGTCCCATATAATATTGTATGGCATGCACGTGACATATAATATTGTGCGGCGTGCACTCATTCCCATATAATACTATGCGGCATGCATCCGATCCTATATACCAATCACCACAAAAACAATAACCCAACCAGGTAACTATAATAAACACGGAGGAAGGCATATAAATAACAACAACAAACAAGATAGAGGCGTTTATATGATAATAACAAATCAAGTAGAAAATATAGATGTAACGATAACGACCAAATAAGAAACAAAGATGTGGTAATAACAAACAAGATACGAAACATAGATGTGATATTACAAACAATATAAGAAGCATAAAAGTGATAATAACAAACAAGATAGTAACAAACAAGATACGAAACATAGATGTGATATTACAAACAATATAAGAAGCATAAAAGTGATAATAACAAACAAGATAGGAACAAACAAGATACGAAACATAGATGTGATATTACAAACAATATAAGAAGCATAAAAGTGATAATAACAAACAAGATAGTAACAAACAAGATACGAAACATAGATGTGATATTACAAACAATATAAGAAGCATAAAAGTGATAATAACAAACAAGATAGGAAACATAGATGTGATAATAAAAAAATAAGTGATATTACAAACAATATAAGAAGCATAAAAGTGATAATAACAAACAAGATAGTAACAAACAAGATACGAAACATAGATGTGATATTACAAACAATATAAGAAGCATAAAAGTGATAATAACAAACAAGATAGGAACAAACAAGATACGAAACATAGATGTGATATTACAAACTATATAAGAAGCATAAAAGTGATAATAACAAACAAGATAGGAAACATAGATGTGATAATAAAAAAATAAGATAGAAACGTAGATGTGATAATAACATACAATATAGGAAACATAGATATTACCAAACAAGATAGGCAATATAGAAGTGATATTTCACGATTCAAAATCTAACTAGTCGTGATGAGACCTAACCCAACCTCGTAGTAAGCCAAATAATAATCAACATAACTCAAATGAGAATAATAAGAGCCAATAAGTAAAATAACTTAACTTCTATACAATATCCCGAGTATTGGTAGTACAAGTCATGTGCCACTAAGATTTTGAGTTACAAAACTGATATGGATTAAACACAACATTTATTTGAAATGTACATAAACAGATTACAGATCTAAAGCCACCAAGGACAAGTGACAGTTATATCCAGAAAGCAAATATATTTTTAATGTCAGCTCCCGCCATACACAACGACATCGACTCCAAGATTTGCATGCAAGGTGCAGAAGTGTAGTATGAGTACAACCGATCCCATGTACTCAATAAGTATCATAACTAACCTCGGCGAGGTAATAGAAGAAAGAATTATAAATTATACTCGCTATCCCCTGTACAGTTCATAAATTCAATAAGTATAGAACATATATATGATCAAATCGGGAAATCATAGGTAAAACCAACTTGGTACTCACAATCTTTGTTTTAAAATGTTTTGCACATTCAACAATCCAGTATATAAGGAAGATATGCAAGTAAATCAGGTAAAAAGTCAAGGAAATTGCAAGTAAAGATGAAATGCAATAACCAAATATTAGTTCGTTGTAGCGCGTAACCCGGTCCATATAACAATAAGCCAATAAGGTCTGTTACGATGTGTAACCCGATCTAAATAACAATAACTAGCCTCCCAGAGGTCACATCAACCAGAAACCCGTCGGTTTCTCACAATCCGCGTGTACACCATCAATAGAGAAATATGCGAGGGTGACTCTAGGGTATGGATCCATATCCATACGCAAGCACGACCAATTCAACGTGCTACCAGCCTGGCGTGATCACAGACTCAATATCATAATCCGTCCGATATGGTCACGTGCTCAATATAATAGATCCGCCAGTGTGGTTACATGCTATATCACAATTTGCCTAGCATGGTCACATGCATAACAATACAATTCGCCTAGCGTGGTCACATGCTGTAATAACCAGATAGGTCATTTTGAGTTTTAGCCTTTATTATCATGTTTCGAGACCTCAATTAGCTCCGTTTACGTTCCTCACTTTGTGTGCACAATCTGTGTCTTATTCTAGAAAAAATTTAAGTGAAAAACTAAAGGAAATATGAACTTTAGCCTTAAAAATAATTTGAGTTAACTACGTCAATATTTTGTGTAAAAGGACCCAGATGAATAATTTGACGATCCCAGTGGGTCCGTATTGTGATTTTGGACTTGGTTTTATGCCTGAAATTGAATTCAGAAGTTCCTAACTTGTCTTGATGAGATTTGTTGAAAACTAGTAATTTGAAGGTTTAAGAAATTTCGAAGATTGACCATAGGTTGACTTTATAGCTACAGGATTTGAATTTTGGTTTCGGAACTTGGTATAGGTTCTTTTTACTATTTAACACTTGTCTACAAAGTTTGGTGCAAAACAGAGTTGATTTGATGTGATTCGGACATTCAGATGTGAATTTGAAAGTTCTTAAGTGTCTTCGAAAATTTCATGCATTTTGACATCGGATTCGTAGTTCTAGGTGTTATTTTGGAGTTTTGATTGTGCAAGAGAGTTCGTATGATGTTATTACACCTCTGTGTATATTTGGTTTGGAGCTCGAGGGGCTCGGGTGAGTTTCGAATAGGCTACGAATCGATGGACTTAAGAAATCTGCTGATTTTGCCCTTCGCGAACGCGACCAGCCTCTCACGAATGCATATGGTTATGGGGCCTAGGAAGGGATCTTGGCTGCCGCATCATTTGGACCGCGAATGCAAAGGCAGGTGGGAGTAAGCCTTCGTGAACGCGAAGAGTGGCTTGCGAACGCGAAGGCCTTTGGCTGATGCTGCTTCGCGATCGCGTCAAGATCTTCGCGAACGCGAAGAAGGCCTGACGCCTAGTGATTTAAATATACCATAGTCGGGATGCAACCTATTTTTCACCATTTTCAAGTTTGAGCTCGGTCTAGAGTCGATTTTGAAGAGATTTTTTATTCCAACTTTATAGGTTAGTAGATTTTAACTTGTTTCCTTCCATTTCTATAAACACCCATTGATTTTTACTTTTAATTTATGTTTTTTCATGGTAGAAATTAGGTATTTAGGTATAAATTGAGAATTTTGAGAAATTGAGATTTAGATCCCAAATTGAGGTCAGATTTCGAAACTGATCACATAATCAGGCTCGGGGTGAATAGGTAATCGGGTTTTGGTCCAACTCTCGGATTTTTACCAAGCGAGCCCGGGGTTGACTTTTGTTGACATTTTTTGAATATTAAAGATTGAATCTATTTTACTCGTGGGTAGTTCTAAAGCTTATTTTGAATTATTTGAACTATATTTGGTTAGATTTGATTGGTTTGGAGGCTAATTCTAGAGGAAAAGCTGCAGTTGAGCCTTCATTTGGTTGCAGAGTGAGGTAAGTGTCGTGGTTAACCTTGACTTGAGGGATTAAGACTTGTTAGTCTATTTGCTACATGTTTTATGTGCGGGAATAACGTATATGTGAGGTTACGAGTACTTGTATGTTGTTATTCGATTAAAGCATGCGGGTGGAACTTGATTCTTTGTATGTTATTGCTTTGTTAATTATGATATCCATGCTTATGTTAGATCATTACTTTTTCAATTATTTGTTTCGTAATTATTGCTTATTTAAAAGTTGTTGAATATTTTTTAAAGTTGATGTTTTGTATCATGACACCATAGTTGGAGTTAAATTTATTCTCTGCATTATTTATTACTCAAATTAATATTATCATTATGATATGGTGAGGAAGAGAGTAAAAGCACGAAGGGTGATGTCGTGCCATTTCATTTACATTATCATTATTACAGGGCTCGGAAGAGAGTAAAAGCACAAAGGGTGATGTCGTGCCATGTCATTCATATTATTATCACATAGTGAAGACGAGAGTAAAAGCACGAAGGGTAATGTCATGCCATTTCATTCATATTATCATTGCATGGTAAGGACGAGAGTAAAAGCACGAAGAGTGATGCCGTACCATTTTCATATCACTGGGTTGACTGATTATTTCCCGATTTTGGTGAATCACTTGGTTATTTCATGATTTCATACATGTCGTAGTTGTTATATATTCCCCATTTTGCATGTCCCCTCCCAATTTATATGTTATTATTCTCTGTTATTGTTGCTGCTTTATATACACTTGTACAAGTTTATTTACGTAGGTGTCTTGTCATAGCCTCATAACTACCTCGTCGAGGTTAGGCTAGATATTTACGGAGTACATTTGGTCGGTTGTACTCATACTATACTTCTGCATTTTGTGTAGATACTAGTATTGGTCCTCGCGGCGGTCAGTAGCTTTTGCTCGGATTCAGTCGTTATCGGAGACTTGAGGTATAGTTGCACCGTATATGCAGCCCCGAAGTTGCATTTCCTTCTATCTTTACTATTTTATTGAGTTTTAAAACAGTTGTATTTCGTCAGACCTTGTTTGTAGCACTCAAGATGTTCTTGTACTTGTGACTCTAGGTTCCGGGATATGTTTAGGCTTTGTTGTTCGGTATTATTTTACTCTACTTCAGACTTATATCGTTATCATTGTTAATATTTTGCTTTTAAATTGTTAAAATCAATTAATTATTTGTATCACGTCGTCTTGCCTAGAAAGTGGATGTTAGGTGCCATCATGACCCCGAGGTTGGGATTTCAGGTTGTGACAAGTTGGTATCAATACTAGGTTGCTTAGGTCTCACGAGTCATGAGCAAGCTTAGTAGATTCTGGAGGATCGGTACGGAGACGTTTGTACTTATCTTTTAGAGACTATGGAGTTTTAGGAAAAAATTCACTTTTTTCCCTGTCATGCGATTTTGTTCTATCATTGATGTTTGAATCATTCCATTCTTGCTCTTTCGCAGATGGTGCAAACGGTATCTATAGTCGAATAGGAGCCGCATTCCCTTGTTGCAACTACTACCAAGGGAGAGGTCGAGACAGAGGTCAAGCTAGAGGTCGAGGAAGAGGCATGGCTCATACTAGAGCTCGAGTAGCAACACCCACAGTGGAGCCTTAGATTGATCATGAGGAAGAGATCCCAGCTTAGATCGTACCAGTTGAACCAGCTCAGGTCCCGGAGGGATTCATAGCTACTCTAGTGCTTAAGGACTCTCTAGTACGCTTGGTGGACCTTATGGAGAGTGTGGCCGAGAGCGGTGCATTTCTGGTGGCACCAGCCATCTCTCAGGCTGGGGGAGGGCATAGACTCCCACTACTCAACTTCGGAGCAGATGGCTCCCCTATATCAGACTCCAACAGCCCAGCCAGTTGTAGTCGGTTGTTGCGGCACAGATCGGGTAGAGGCCCGTGATGTCTACTGAGGGATTAATGAGATTGGACAAGTTCACAAAGCTTTTCCCAATTCACTTTAGTGTTTCACCCTCTAAGGACCCACATGATTACTTGTAATATTGCCACGAGGTGTTGTGTAACATCGCTATTATTGAGATCAGTAGGGTCGACTTTGCAGTATTCCAAATAACCAGTTACACAAAGAGATGGTGGAGAGTATATGTGTTAACAAGACCGACTGGTTTGCCTTCACTTACTTAGATCAGTTTTCACAGTTATTTCTAGAGAAGTTCATTCCTTTTACTCTGAGAGAGGAGTATCACAAGCAGTTTGTGGACCTAGCTCACCGTGTAGTTGTTTTACTCCCTCCTAAGAGGGAGAGAGTGAGGAAATTCATTGATGGACTCACTTTTAGTATCAGATTACAGATGGACAAGGAGACTAGAGCTGATATTTCTTTCGAAAGGGCCGTAGAGATTGCTAGACGGATCAAGATGGTTTGTGGTCAGGAAAGGGGGCCGGTGTCTGATAATAGGACTCATCATTTTGGTGGTTTCAGTGGTGCCTTATCAGGATACATTGGTACTTTTGGTAAAGGTCATCCTCCTAGGTCATTTCAGTCAATGCTTCAGGCATCCCACGGTGCTTCGGGTAGTCGTGGTCCTCATGTATCTCATCCTAAGCCGCTAGCCTGCAGTGCACCATCAACTCCTATTAGTACACCTCCGATCCAGAGTTATTAGAGTGGTTATCCAGGTCGACAAGGCCAGTTCCAGGGTTAATAGTCACAACGGCAAAGTGCGTGTTATACTTGTAGAGATCCGAGCCACCTCTCTAGATTTTGCCCTAGGTCACAGGGCGACATGCCATAATAGGGTTCTCGTGGTTCTGGCACCGGTTTTTTCAGAGTCCGAAACTTAATGGCAACTTTTTGGATTCAAAACACGTTTTTACAGTTTGAAAAAGTTACTTTTCTACCTAAAACGCGGTATTATACTGTGTTTTACTTTAACGAAATTTAAGCCGTTAAAGTAAAACACAATATAATACTATATTTTACATATAACGCAATATAATAATGCATTTTTCCAATGGGACCTACGTGAATTTCCCAGCTTTTTGAAATGGCAATTTCCTAACCATGTGGGTCCCTAAACAGTACATAGCAGCTTTTTATGATCTCTTTTTGCAGCCACTTTTGAAATGGCAATTTCCACTTTTACTGTCTATTGAACCTCAATAGTAAGAGTGTGCCAGAAATATAATTAAGAGATGGATTTGGGATTAAATTCTTAAGTATTTTTTTTCTATCAAGACTTCTAGTGGTATGATGATGGTCTTTTATACAATAATCATCTTTCGTTTTCATCGAACTGATAATATAGCGATATTTCGTACAAAATCTTTATATAATAACGCCCCATAAACTTTTATAAAATGAGTCAGAGATTTTAGAAATGTTCAAATGATCACAATGGTAATAAATTTTTTTTGATGTTACATCAATTTAACTAAGTAAAATCTTTTAAGAATTTGACGAACAAAAGTGCTTTTTCTTAAAGTAATTATTTTAGAGTTGACGTGTTTGGCCAAATTTTAAAGAAAAAAAAGTACTTTTAAATAATAACATAAGCTTAAAAATATAGCTTTTTTTCTTAAGGACTTTTAGAACCTAACCGACAAATGATGGATCCACATGGAGAGTTACTTATGGGTGCTCAAACACCCATTGTCTTTACCTGGATTTAATATATTTATATAGTCAATTAGTAAAAAATGTAGATAAGTAGTGCAAGAGCACCCATAGCTAAATCTTTTATCTTTCCGAACTCTTTCTGACAAGAAATCATGACTATAAAATCTTGGATCCGTCATTATAAATGACTAAGCATAAATTGCTAGTTTAATATTAGCAAAAATATTTTTTAAATTGATTAGCCAAACATAATCTGCTACTACTTTTTAAAGTACTTTTTCGAAAAGTACTCCTAATAAAAAGCATTTTTCAAATAATATGATTTTGAAAATATGGTTAAACAGTCTAGAAAATTTTCCCACTTTTGATTTAGCACATTTTTTTATAACGGGCAGTTAAAACTAAACATTTGTATCCCTAGAATGCAAAATTATTTTGTTTTAGAAAGAAAATTTTGAACCCTACTTCATCCGTATCAAACATTAGTCGTTTCAGTAAATTAAATTTGTATTAAAATATTTGACGTATTTAACAAATCAAATGTTACTTATTCATTACTTTTTCAAATATATCCTTACTATTTAAATTAATTAGTGATTATTAATTAAATAATATCTAAGAGAGATAAAAGTTATTTTGACACACAGCCTTATGACTAAAGGTATGAATATCTATGTTAAGGGTTCGTGCAAGAACTTTAACAAAATATATAGACAATATTGATCGAATGTATTCCTTCCGGTCCATTATAAGTGTTTTTTTTATGGTTCATCGTATTAGATTTTTTCAAATATTAAAAAGAAATTAATTTCTTCTTTCCAAAGTCGCTCTTGGAGTAAAGAGTCTAAAAATTAAAGTAGATCAGGTAATAAATTAAATCTTCTAAATTACAAGACTTTAATATCCCTTAAATGTCTATGATAAAGAGAGTACAACAAATAACACGTTGCACGATATCCATTTACCGACCGTCGTTATCAGTGTCAGTGTCTGCTACTAGTTCCTACAATCTTCTGAGGCCCATATTCTTCGAACAATTTTTGACAGATCTTATGTGGGAAAAACGCATTATTAGACTGCGTTATATGTAAAATGTGGTATTATACCGTGTTTTACTTTAACGGCTTCCGCAGTATAATACCGCGTTTTAGGTGGAAAAATAACTTTTTTTAAACCGTAAAAACGTATTTTGAGTCCAAAAAGTTGCCATTTAAGTTTCGGACTCGTTTCTTCACCGCCCGCTCAGACAGCTAAAGGTGGGGGTCAAGATGCTAAAGGTGGAGGTCAGGTTATTAGAGGCGGAGGTCTGGCCGTTATAGGCGGAGGTCTGGCCGAGAGGCGGAGGTCATAGTAGTGGGGCCCAACCCCGTTTTTATGCATCCTCGGCTAGACCTGAGGCCGAGTCATGTGACGCCATTATCACATATATTGTTCTAGTTTGCTATAGAGATGCTTTAGTTCTATTTGATCCAGGCTCTACTTATTCCTACGTGTCATCCTATTTTTCTTCATATCTGGTTGTGCCTCGTGATTCTTTAAATGCTCTTGTGTGTGCGTCCACACCTGTGGGAGATTCTATTATTGTTGATTGTGTTTATTACTCGTGTGTGATTACTATTGGGAGTCTTGAGACTAGTATAGATCTCATACTTCTTGATATGATAGACTTTGATGTTTTTTGGGCATGGATTGGCTGTCATTGTATCGTGCTATATTGGACTGTCATTTCAAGACAGTGACCTTAGCCATGCCGGGGTTGCCTCGATTAGACTGGAGAGGGACTCCTAGCTATTCTACCAGTAGTATTATTTATTATGTGAAGGCTCGGTGTATGGTCGAGAAAGGGTGTCTAGCTTATTTGGCTTATATTCGCGATTGTAGTGTGGAGGTTCCTTCCATGGATTCGGTACCAGTTGTGCGTGAGTTTCTAGAGGTGTTTCATGTAGATCTTTAGGGGATGCCACCCAACAGAGATATTAATTTCTGTATTGACTTGGCTCCGGGCACTCAGCCCATTTCTTTTCCACCATATTCTATAGCCCTGCCTGAGTTGAAGGAACTGAAGGAGCAGTTGTAGGATTTGCTTGATAAGGAATTCAGTGTCTCACCTTGGGGTGCGCCCATGTTGTTCGTGAAAAAGAAGGATGGTTCGTTGAGGATGTATATAGACTATCGACAGTTGAACAAAGTCAATATCAAGAACAAGTATACGTTGCCAAGGATTGATGATTTATCATCGGATGTCCCTAAGACAGTTTTTTGAACTCATTATGGGCATTATGAGTTTCTAGTGATGTCATTTGGGTTGACAAATGCCCTAACAACATTTATGGATTTGATGAACCGGATATTTTAGACCTAAGGATCCTTTTATGATCGTATTCATCGATGATATGTTGATCTGCTCCCGTAGTTGAGAGGAGCATGAGTAGCATCCTCAAGTTGTACTTCAGATTCTGAGAGATAGTCGATTATATGCTAAGTTTTCACATAATGAGTTTTGGGTAGACTCAGCTGCTTTTTTGGGTCATATTGTATCAGCCGAGAGAATTAAAGTGGATCCTAAGAAGATTGAGGTAGTTCAGAACTGGCTTAGACCTACTTTAGCTACAGAGATATGGAGTTTTCTGGGTTTGGCGGGTTATTATCACCGGTTCATGGAGGGGTTTTCATCCATAGCAGCCCCATTGACTAGATTGACCTAGAAGGGTGCCCCATTTAGGTGGTCCGATGAGTGTGAGTTGAGATTTCAAAAGCTCAAGATTGTTATGACTATATCCCAATGTTGGTGTTGCCCACAGGTTCATGATCCTACATAATTATGATGTATTTCGTATTGGTCTCGGTGCAGTATTAATGCAGGATGGCATGGTGATTGCATATACATCGCGATAGTGAAAGGTTTATGAGAAGAATTACCATGTTCATGACTTAGAGTTGGCTACCATTGTACATGCATTGAAGATTTGGAGGCACTACCTCTACAGTATGTCGTGTGAGGTATTCCCAATGGCCATTAGTGACTTTCATTTCCTGTTTATTTAGTGTCGATTTGGGATTCGTCTTGTTTTTATCAATAAAATGAGGCATTTAGCATTCTAAGTTCTTCAAATCAACTTGTCGCTAGGCCTACCTCGGGCACAAAGGGGTCCCCAAATTAGGACATGATTTACATTCCCGCACTATGTGTTTAAATATTGCAATGCTTTTTATGATCCTCACTAACTTGGTTACCTTTTTGTTTTTACTTTTTATTTTATTATTCCCCTCCCCAAAGGTTAGTTCGTATACTCTGGCATCATCATCTTATTCCACGAGATCCAGGGGCCCTCCACCCACTTCTCCTCTTAGTCATGTCAAAAACAAGAACAAAAGCAAGATGGAAGATTTGAACAATGTCAGGAAGGAGAATCCAACTGAATGGGTAGAGGCCACTAATGGCCATGGTACTCAGGTTCCTAAGGAGAATGTGTTACAACTGGAAAAGAAGTTGCTAAAATTCCAAGAAGAGCTCGATCAGGTTCGGAATCTGGCAAGCCTGTCATTTTTCCTCAGCACCCCAGATATCAACTTTCCCAACACTCAAAACCCTACACCTCCTCAAACCATCCCAAAGCAACATATTGTTCTACCAAATACCCAATGCAACACCTGCCATATCCCAAACAACACTCCACTACTCACCCAGAACCTCAAAACTCCACAAATGACCATTTTCACACCCACACACCAGGCCACCATAACACCCTTATCTACGTGGAGACCATGCCACACTCCACCCAACTTATCTCAAGCACACCTGAGTCTGATGAAAATGATCTACTTATCAGGAATCTGGCTGAGGAACTTAAGAAATTGACTAGCCGGATTCAGGGCATTGAGGGAAGTAAAGGAATCGAGGGGCTATACTATGAGGATCTTTACATACAGCCCGATGTCGAACTGCTCGAGGGGTACAAACCTCTTAAGTTCGAAATGTTTGATGGTACAAGTGATCCAAGGGTCCATCTGAGGACATACTGCGACAAGCTGGTTGAAGTAGGGAAAGAAGAGAGAATCCGCATGAAGCTGTTCATGAGGAGTTTGAAAAGAGATGCGTTGTCTTGGTACATCAGCAAAGATCCCAAGAAGTGGTCAAGCTGGGTAGGCATAACATCTGATTTTATAGATAGATTCAGGTTTAATACAGAGAATGC